TTGATAGAAAACACTTGGAAGATCTCTAAAAATTTTGTCTGTAATAATAAATCTTTCAGTTTGAAATAACCTTTTGTTCATTGTTTCTGTTTTTAAGGTTACCTTTTCCAATGGACATTATTCTTCTGATGCTTCATGGAAAACAGTGACCACTAAATGTATGTTCAATTTTAAGTCATTCCCTTTAATTCTTTGATTACTCTTACCTGTTATGTCTATAAAATAGTTTGATATTTCTAAAGCTCTGCAGTGTTTCTGTTTGACTTTATCTTTTGCTTTCCTTTCTTAAACAGATAATGCTAAAGCCCTGATTGGATTTTTGACATTCCTCATTATTGTGACGTCTTTGGCTTTACTCATCGTTCTATACAGGATCTACACCCTTAACAGACAAAAGTCAAGGTAAAGATGTTTTTTTTCTTTTTAACCAGGTATGTGCAATAAAGATGAGACAGTTGTAACCTTTCCTTCCAGGTGAAGATTGAGAACCATCTCTCTTGCTGATGAAGTGGGATGGGGCTTTGTTCCCCATGTTCCTGTCATTGACTATTCCAGTAGAGCAGTGGTTCTCAATCTTTCTAATGCCGTGACCCCTAAATACAGTTCCTCATGTTGTGGTGACCCCCAACCATAAAATTATTTTCATTGCTACTTCATAATTGTAATGTCGCTTCCTGTTATGAATCGTAATGTCAATATCTGATATGCAGGTTGTATTTTCATTCATTGAACCAAATTTGGCACAAATGCCCGATAGGCCCAAATTTGAATACTGGTGGGGTGGGGGGGGGGGAGATTTTGTCATTTGGGAGTTGTAGTTGATGGGATTTATAGTTCACCTACAATCAAAGAGCATTCTGAACTCCACTAATGATGAAATTGAACTAAACTTGGCATACAGAACTCCCATTACAAATAGAAAATACTGGAAGGATTTGATGGGCATTGAGTTTGGGAGTTGTAGTTCACCTACATCCAGAGAGCACGGTGGACTCAAACAATGATCAATCTGGACGAAACTTGGCATGAATGCTCAATATGGCCAAACGTGAACAGTGGCGGGGTTTGGTGAAAATAGACTTTGACATTTGGGAGCTATAGTTGCTGGGATTTACAGTTCAACTGCAATTAAAGAGCATTCTGAACCCCACCAATGATAAAATTGAGCCAAACTTATCACACAGAAGCCCCGTGGTCAACAGATGGTCTTTGGTGACTTGTCTGACACCCCCCCCTTGCAATATGCTCAGGGGTCCTGACGATGGGGAAAGTGGGAGGCGGGCGAGGAGGCTTTGTGTGAAGCTAGGCCTCACACTGAGTTCCCCTCGCCCGCCTCTCGCTCTCGCTGAATGGTGAAAGTGGGAGTTGGGCGAGGGGGCTTTGCGCGAAGCTAGGCCTCGCACCGAGTTCCCCTCGCCCACCTCACACTCTTGCCGAATGGCAAGAGCGGGAGGTGGGCGAGGAGGCTTTGCGCCAAGCTAGGCCTCACGCAGAGTTCCCCTTGCCTGCTTCGCGCCCTCGCCGAATGGTGAGAGTGCGCAGCAGGCAAAGCGGGCTTTGCGCAAGGCCAGGCCTCGCGTGAAGGAGCCCTCTCCTGGCCCGACCCCTTGGGGTGGGGCCAACGGAGGCAGCCTCGCGACCCCTCCAAAATGACCAGGCGACCCCCCTGGGGGTCGCGACCCCCAGATTGAGAACCGCTGCAGTAGAGGGACAGCTGATAGCTTCCATATCAACCGACCAGTGACATTGCCCCAAGTTTTGGTCTGAACATTAAAGGAGCTATCTACAAAGCCCAGTATCTATTTTAAAAACTCTCAATGAGTTCAGTACCCTGGATAGCTCCTTAAAGCTAGAGAACCATATGAGCATGACCACATAGCTAAACAATTTTCTCCGTAGGAATTGTGCAATGGTGGTATTTGGTCCATCACCCTCCTCATTACTGTTGCTGAAATGATATAGAACCAAACTGTAGAAAAGCAGCATTGGTACTATTCCCACCAGCACATGTAGGATTAGTACCAAAATAGTTGTATTGTCGAAAGCTTTCATGGCAGGAATCACTGGGTTGTTGTAGGTTTTTTTGGGATATATAGCCATGCTCTAGAGGCATTCTCTCCTGATGTTTCACCTGCATCTATGGCAAGCATCCTCAGAGGTAGTGAGGTCGAAATGTTAGGAGGGAGGGGGCTGATCTAATATCTCTAGGGAGGGTGTTCCATAGCCGAGGAGCCACCGATGAGAAGGCTCTGTTCTTGTTCCTGCCAATCGCATCTGCAAAGGGGGCGGGACTGAGAGCAGGGCCTCTCCAAATGACCTTAAGCACCTAGAGGGTTCATAGGTAGACCTCACTACTTCTGAGGATGCTTGCCATAGATGCAGGCAAAACGTCAGGAGAGAATGCCTCTAGAACATGGCCATATAGTCCGAAAAAACCTACAAAAACCCACCAAAATAATTGTTAATACTTCCCCTATTTTGGGGATGTATATTTCATCTCTCCCACTCCTTTTCTCCTCTCCATTTTTATGTCAGCAAAAGCATTCTGTGGATATTGAGCATGTCCATTTCTGCAAACTTTTCAGTTTTTCAGAGCAGACTAACATTGGAATATCCTTTTGGTGGGGATTACATCTCCCAGATTGCCCCATCTGGCAAAGTGTAGTCCCCCAAATTGAACTTTTCCAAGGCCTGGCTGATACTTCCTGATCATTTCTTAGTAGACTCATTTCATCTACAGAAGTATCCCAGCACAACACATTAATTTGCTATTAGGATATTTATTTATTTATTTATTTACTATATTTGTATACTGCCTCTCTCAACCTGGAGGCAACTCAAGGTGGTTTTGAAGTCAAAATTTTATATGCATAGAAAAACCAATTAAAAAAAAGGCGGTTTACAGTCGGCAGTCAATGCCCCCAAACAACATAAATTACTATTAAAAACATTACATATAATATAAATCATATAGAAGCAATAAAACAATAAAAACCATAAAGCACAAGTCCTCAGCATCTCATCACTAAAATCATTTTTCCGTCACATCGTGCAATCGGTCCAAGGATCTCAATTAGTCTATTACACTGTGTCTGCAAATGCCTGCTCAAATAGCCAGGTTTTAACTCTCTTTCAAAATGTTAGGAGAGAGGGGGCTGATCTAATATCCCTAAGGAGGGCGTTCCATAGCCAAGGGGCCACCGCTGAGAAGGCTCTGTCTCTCGTTCCTGCCAATCGCATCTGCAGGCGATCTTAAGCACCTAGATGGTTCATAGGGAGAGATATGTTGCATTTATGTTCTAAAATAAAACTGTTCAAACCTAACTTTTGGTTTCAGAAAACTTTGATATCATCTAATATTGCTTTGCATTCATAAGCTTTTCTGCTTTTTACAGAAATTCAGATGAAGCAGTGGTGCTTGTTCCCAGAGGTAAATAACATGCGACAAATTGACTATTATGAAGCTAGAAAGGACCTCAGGTGCTAATTTAATCCTCTGCTTTGCAGGAATCCACTGCTTAAGTATCCTGAAATGTTGATTATCTAAAACTATATTTAAAACTATATTTATTTTGTAAATGTAGGCATGATGTGAATATTTTGCCCAGACCTCTGTAAAAATGACACATTGAAACCTAATTTCAAACCAGGTTCCTTAAATCTGTAGGATGGAAATTTCCCCCAGCATGACAAGAACAGGGAATTATCTGGACCTGCCATCAATTCAGATCAAGGATGTCAAGCTTCATTTCATAATGAACTATCCCTCCACCTCAATCAAACATATATAGAGCAGCTTAATTCTGATAATGTGGACAGTGTCCCAGAATAGTATCTGTATATGTTTCTTCAAGTTGCCTGTCAATTAATAATGACCATAGTTTTCTAAGACAAGGAACACTCAGAAGTGATTTTTCCAGTTCCTTCCTAGTTTTTTTTTTGTCATGCCAGGAGCGGCTTGAGAAACTGCAAGTCACTTCTGGTGTGAGAGAATTGGTCGTCTGCAAGGACGTTGCCCACGAGACACTTGGATGTTTTTGATGTTTTACCATCCTTGTGGGAGGCTTCTCTCATGTTCCCACATGAGGAGCTGGAGCTGATAGAGGGAGCTCATCCACATTCTCCCCGGATTTGAACCTGTGACCTGTCAGTCTTCAGTCCTATGGCACAAGGGTTTAACCCACTGCACCACCGTATTCCTAGTATTCATTGATGGTTGCGGTGAGGGAGGGAGACTATTTTCCTTATTTAAGAAAAATCTCTTTACTCTTATACTGAATCAGTTTCTTCTTTTATATTAGCTGGGACTTTCTGTGTGCTGTTTAACCTTTGTACAGGCACTGAGACACACTTCTGTATAACAAAGTAACACAGTTTATTTATAACTTCTAGCTTGTGGTTACATTTGAGTTTTGTTGCAATCTTGAGGCTTACAGTCAGTATAATATACTTGGTTTACATTTCTGAAATAGACTTTCAGTCACATTCACAAACATGTTACTTGCTTTACACACTCTTGACTGAAATTATATTCTGACTAAAGCACCACTGGCTTTCTTTATGCTCCTAAAACTTTTTAACTAACTGCTTCTATATATCAGAAGTCTTTAACACATCTTCATAACTGCTTATTTCTAACAGTTCCTAACTCTTTTCTCTTACAGAAGTTCCTAACTGTCTTTCACAAACAGGAATCCCTAACTCCCCCTTTTGACTCTCTAACTGCCTATTTTTAAACTTTGGCTCCACCCCTTTGGAATGTTCATCTCTGCTCTCTCTCCAACTGTCATTTTGGCCTAGCAACCTTTTCAAATCCTGGGCCTACGCTAATCTGCATATGACCAATCGGCTTCCATATGCAAATGAATCCTATCTCTGCTGTTGCTACCCTGTCTGTGCCTATTTTTCCCTATCTGCCATATGTAAACATAGAGCTATACACCAAAAATTTAACATAGAGTAGCAATTTTGCTACAATGGTCTCCCTCCTAACCAAGGCTGAGCTTCCAAGATCAGAAAGGATTTGGTGCCTTTAGGGTTTTTAGGCTCATTCTTGAAAAACTTAAGGTACCATAAAATGGGTTAGTCTTTCACTTGCTGCAAGATATTTAGTTCTGCTGCAAGAGACTGAACAGAAATTGCAAAACATTTTTAGAACTCCCAGAACTTTCCCCATAATCCTAGTGGCTATGACAAATATGTCGGTTTGGCAAGTTGTCAAAGCTTCTCTTCAGGAAAACTAAATCATTTTGTTCATTACCTTTTTACAGCAGTGATGGGAGCATTTGTCTAAGACAGAACTCATGAATTAGTGTTCCTAAAAGTACGCATGTAACTATATTTAAAAGGAGTAGACTAATAAGGATTAATAACCATTGGACAGAGAGTGGAAAATTTGTAGATCTTGTATATGTTTGTTTGAGTGTATATGTGATTTGGTTTAGTCTTTCTGTTCTGTTATTTTTAATACTCACATCATTATAGTCTTATAGTAGTAGAGATAGCATGTAGTTGTTTAGTTTTTAGTATGAAAGAACCCCATACTACATTTTCCTCTGTAGTCATTCTCTAAATGGCAACAATAAGTGATGTGGTTCCCTTTCATCATTTTGAGAGAGACAGCAGAGAAAAGCAAATCTTTGGGTAGCCATGGTAAAGTTGTGACCTGTGAGGAGTCTGGGAAAAAAAATATTTTGATCATTGTGGAGTCACCTTGAAGGCTTAAATATATGTGATGTAAAAAAGTGTTATTATAATGGTACTCAAAAGCAAAATCTGCACATTTTACTATATAACTAAGCAACAGGAAACTTAGAATGCATTTTAATATGTATATCTCTGGACATTATTCATAATAAAAACAATGTGTATCTCCGTCTTTTTTAAAAAGATGACGAAAGGCAGCTGATGAGCATAGAACCAATTCCTGCAGAATTGTTGTGGGAAACATATAGGAGAAATATAGCAGATGAAGGAAGGCTTTTCCTGGAAGAATTTCAGGTTGGTGCACTATTAAAAATAAGTAAAGGTAAAGGTTTTCCCCTGACATTAAGTCCACTCGTGTCCAACTCTGGGGATTGGTGCTCATCTCCATTTCTAAGCCGAAGAGCCAGCATTGTCCATAGACACCACCAAGGTCATGTGGTCAGCATGACTGCATGGAACACTGTTACCTTTCCACCAGAGCAGTACCTATTGATCTACTCACATTTGCATGTTTTCAAACTGCTAGGTTGGCAGAAGGTGGGGCTAACAGCGGGAGCTCATGCCGCTCTCCGGATTTGAACCTGTGACCTTTGAGCAAGTTCAGCAGCTCAAAACTTTAACCCACTGTGACACCAGGGGCTCCTTGTTTATTAAAAATAAACAAACAAATAAATCAACTGAATGTCAGAAATTTCAGTATTTGTACTTGGATTTTCTTGGTGTGTATCATTATACACATTCTTTAATATAGGGAGGAAGTGAAGTAAAAGAAAAAAAGTTCCAACGATGACATCTTCTGTAGCAAGAGTAACAGATTATCCTCCAGGATCTGTGTTAATTTATTTTATCTTCTCACATTGTCCTCTCTTCTCTTCTCTTCTCTTCTCTTCTTTTCTCTTCTCTTCTCTTCTCTTCTCTTCTCTTCTCTTCTCAATTAAGTAATTCAAACTCTACTTTTTCTATTCTTGATGGCAGTCAACTATATGCATATCTTAATTTCTTTTGTTAGTAGATTAGTAAGAGACATGTAAATTTTTATTATAATTGTCTATCATTCACATAGGATCTATACATTTATTTATTTATTTATTTATTTACCATATTTATATAACACCCCTCTCAGCCCGAAGGCGCGAAGGCGACTCAAGGAGGTTTACAGTCAGCAGTCAATGCCCCCAGACAACATAAAATACAGTTAAAAACATTACATGTAATATAAACCATATAAAAGCAATAAAACAATAAAAGCATCTCATCACTAAAATTATTTTTCTGTCACATCGTCCAATTGTTCCGTGGATCTCAATTAGTCTTTTACACTGCATTTGCAAATGCCTGCTCAAACAACTAAGTTTTGTCTCGCTTTTGAAATGTTAGGAGGGAGAGGGCTGATCTAATATCCCTAGGAAGAGTGTTCCATAGTTGAGGGGCCACTTGCTGAGAAGGCCCTGTCTCTCGTTCCCACCAATCACATCTGCGAAGGGGGCGGGACTGAGAGCAGGACCTCTCCAGACGATCTTAAGAGCCTAGATGGTTCATAGGGGGAGATGCGTTTGGACAGGTAAACTGGGCCGGAACCGTTTAGGGCTTTAAAGGCTAAAGCCAGCACTTTGAATTGTGCCTGGTAGCAAACTGGTAGCCAGTGGAGATGGCGCAACAGAGGAGTTGTAATAAATCTTTTTATATAAATGTATATATCTATAGTATCGCTAATTCTTAAATTAACCAGACTAGATTTAGTTAGCCACTTGTTATGCCTTTTTCTGGCTGTGTGTGCTGTCGCACGCTGGGCCTGTACAAAAGACTGCAGACAGGACATAAATTCTGTGTGCCCAACGGGACGCCGGGGCTGCCTCAGATTAAAGACCTTTGGATTTCCTTAAACAGAGTCTTTAGATTGCTTAAAGGTTCAACAAAGTTCTTTATTATTGAAATCAAACAGGTACTTCAAGGCTTTCTTGATAAACTATTGGATCTCTCAATCTTGTCCACAGGGGACAGGCACTATCTTCATGACTGTATTTTGACTAATGGGGAAATCCTTAACCTCTTATCTGGGCAGTCTGTCTTTGCCTCTGTTGGCGTGGAGCCCCTACACCCAGTACCAACTGCTTCTGGCTGCCACTAGCAGCCCTTACCAGAGTCCTTTGTAGGTGTTCAGGATTCAGTGATGGCTGGTTGAAGCGCTGTGGGACCGGATTCCCTCAGCAAAGGAGCTGTAAGGCTGTAAAATCCTCAGCAAAAGAGCTGTGCTGAGACTGTATCTCCCTGGCCAAGCTGTAAACGACAAAGCTTTCTACAGGAGCTCCTGGTTTTATGTCCTGTATGAAAGACTTCTCTGTGTGGACTGACCCAAAATGGCTCCTATTCCCTCCAAAACTCAAAAAGGGGGCGGGACTAGGAAACCTAATGATAATTGACAGGTCATAGATCCAATAAATGCAAATTAAGGAAAGCCAGCTAACTGCAAATGCACAGAACCCCAAAATACATGCAACACTTTCCATTGTTGAATTGGAAAGGGAGGTTGGAGCTCCTGGTACGGCTGTACCAGAACAGTGTGGATGTGGGTCATTTTAAAATCATGCAATGTGTTAAATTTCACATTAAGGTCAGAAAATACTTCTCAATGCAAATGTTACTGTTTTTAAAAGTTTTTTTTAAAATAAACTCTTGAGGACGGAATATGTAAGACTGTATTCAAGATAGAAAATTATTATGCCAAACTATCTGACACCTTTCTAGACATAAAAGTTTTACTTTGTTGGGTTTCCCTTTTGCAGAGTATTCCCAGAGTCTTCAGCAAATTCACTATAAAAGATGCACGCAAATCTTACAACCAGAACAAAAATCGTTACGTTGACATCCTCCCTTGTAAGTACTTGTATTATACTTGGTTTTAATGACAGTTTTTATTAAGCA